CCACCCCCAACACCTCCTCCCAGCACCATTTAGCCCAACATCTCTGCTGGGAAAACCCAGCGCTGCCCTGGCCCCAGCCCACATCGACCCACAGCATACCCCCTGCAACCCTTTTAAGTACCCCTAGGGGTACGTGTACCCCCAGTTGACAACCACTGGCTTTCATGCTGGTCGCCTCACCAGGATTTAGACTTTGTTTTTTCTGGTTAAGGACCATTATTTTATTTGGGTTTTTTTTAATTTTCTCCATGGTATAGTTAGCACAGTGGAGTCCCCTCCTGTAACATAGATACACACTCAAATACAACATAATAAGTGCTGTATTGTAAGCTTTGGGCTCATACAATATTGTGTGTGTGTGCGCGCGTGCTAAAATATTGTTACAGCAGCTAAAATCATTTGAGCACCAGAAACAACAAACTTGCTGTTGACACCCTTTGGTTTTTGTATTTAAGAATGAAGAAGTGTTGAAGAAATGTGCACAGGAGTATTTATCAAGAGTAAAGAAAGAGGAGCAGAGGTACCAAGCACTCAAAATCCATGCTGAGGAAAAACTGGACAGGTAATTGCTGTGTGTGCGCTTTTTACTATAGGTAGGGCTAGCATCTTATGATTTTTGGCACTTTTTGGTGGGAATATTATATCAAGTACATGCTAATCTGTCATGGGGAAGAGTGGGAGGTTAAATAAATGACCTGATACTAGGTTTTTTCTGTGGGAGAAGAAAGGAGGAAACCAGTGACCACAGCTGAATACTAATCACCAAACTTGTACTAAGAGATCACAGAGAATGAGAGAATACTGCTTGATAAATGGGCCTTTCTGGAATAGACCATACCAAGAGACTTTTTGAATTAATGTGCTTTTCAAGGCAGCTGCAGAAAGTCTTTTAGTTTCATAAACTTCACTCGGTAAGCCAGGCACTGGATCTGGTTTTCTTCACTAGGCTGTGAAGCTCAAGTTAGCATTTCTAGAGCCCACTGTAAATCTCTTATAATAACTGTCTCAGGTAATTAATATCTCCATAATATCAACACTGACCAGTGTTTGTAATGAAACACATTTTTCAGTTTATTTCTCAACTGTTCTCCCAGCGTCAGTCTAATCCAGACACCAGAAGTCATCATGGTTAAAGGCTTAGGAAATGTTCAACAGGTTCTGTGATACTAGCACAGTTGCTGGTGTGTAACATAGTTTACAAAAATATTTGTGACAACCATGCTCAAGTGACGGTTGGAGTAGCGAAAGGTTTTTTCTTCTTAGTGGGTAGCAGCTCTCAAAGTT